TTATTACACGGCTCTGTGGAATACTTGATTCTGATTGGTCAGTCGCGACATTCCGAGGTATGTTATCCCTCGATAACAACCGGTAAAATCTAATAACACAGGCTCATCCGGGTAACAGCAGTCGGCGATGTACTCTTGCTTGAACTGTTTTTTATTGGTGGAAGCTTTGCGTTTGTTTAGCTAATAAAATATTAAAACTGGATTCAAAATGGTGTACAATTATTTAATTATGTCATCCTGGTATCGCGGGCTCGCTCTCGTTTCATACAAACGCAGCTGCTGCCATTTTGCTACGATTGTTTTGTACGCTGTAATGGATTATAAGAGAACTAACAAACTGGTAAGGTTTTAAAACATTTTCGTCTTAATTCTTTTATTGCCTTAATTATTTTTGTGGTGAAATGTTGTGTAATAAGTGGTTTGACTGCACCGTTTCCCTTAAAGGTCCATCTAGTTTGAATTTGCCGCTTGCTCGCAACTGCTGTCTTCACGGAAGCTTTGCGTTCAAATATTTCAACTCAAATCAATATTTTGCGTCTAATTACTTACTTATGTGGCAAGTAGCCGTGTAATAAGTGGGATAATGTACATCCAGCTGGTTGTCATCTCAGAATAAACGCTTTACCATATTTTACTGTTAAAATTCTGTTGTAATTCCTTGCACTGTATCCTGGCCAGCTCTATAGTGAAGTGACACACTTTACACATAACCAGACTTCACCTCCCTCTCCAGGGTACTAATTCAGAACACAGAAAACTAAAATATGCATGAGTGCACTTGGTGGGATGCAGAATGCCGTGTGGTCCCCTCACCTTCTGTGTCTTGGATGTCAAGGACTCTTCTGATCTGGGACAGAGGCATCAGGGCTATGTGTTTGAGCTGGGCGGGTGGCCGCGTCTGACCCAATGGACTCCGGAAAGTGGTTATGACCTTGTGTCTCTTCCTGGCAATCTGAATATGAAGATGCAGAAGGAAAAAGCACACACACACTAAACTCTTAATACATGCAGCTTTCTTCATAATGCAGGAATGTAAAATGTCCTCTCCTGTTCTTGGGTGGAACAGTTGGGAGTCCTTCAGGTGCTTTAGTGGAGCCGAAATGTGTAATGCAGATTGGGGCGACAGATTCGCATACAGAGGACTTCTTAAAATGAATAATTGATCACTCAGAGTCTTCCCTTGTCCCTGCTCTCATTACCAGGCCAGAGCCAGTATTGGTCGAAGAGGACCACAGCCGTGCACCAGCACGCCAGCAACCCCTCTACAGTGCTTAAATGCATCCCCTCACTAATTAGGGAAACAGGCCAGAGAGTCGAGTCAGCAAGCACAGAATGCACACGCATAAATTATTCACTTTTTTTTTTTTTAGTGGTACCGCTCACCCGTGAACTGAACAAACAATTGTTGCAGTTGCTGACAATTTGGAGAAGAAAACGGAAAGAAATTTAGGGACGAGCTGATGGTTAAACCGAGGAGACAGAGATGAGGGAAGACCAAAAAGAGATGTCCACTCAAGTCTATGACAAAGATCTTCAAGAAAAAGAAAGAAAAAAATGGTTAACTCCCCAAAATTTTGAAATCTAGTTCAAATGCATTTGCTAGTCTCTCAGAAAGGTAATATTCTCTCAGAAAGGTAATATTCAAAAATGTTCATAGATTTATTGAATACATGCATCGTTTTTTTTATTTTTTACACATTATAAAAGTGAAAAGTATTTTACAAATATAAATAATTGTATCATGAATTTTATGGTGTTTTCTTGGGGTTATACTAGTTGTTTTTGAAACTGAACTAAGCTTGTTTTATCATAAAAAGGTAAAACTTTTTGATTTTGACATAAGAAGAGACTTTTGATTGTTTTTAATAAAATGGCAAATACTGCATGCCAGAAAATAGGCAAGATATTAAAAAATATGACTATTAAAAAATATATTTTAATGGGAAATTTTCCTTCAGCACCCTTTCAGGGTAATTCCGCAACCTAGAGAATTTTGAATAATCAAAAAGTATTTTAATTGAGCAGAACATGATTGTTCTAGAGGAGGTGTATTCAAATTGCCGTCACTATTAATTACATTTTAAAGGGGTCATATGATGCGATTAAAATTTTTCCTTTCTCTTTGGAGTGTTACGAGCTCTTGGTGCATAAAGAAGATCTGTAAAGTTGCAAAGACTAAAGTCTCAAATCCAAAGAGATATTCTTTATAAAAGTTGACTTGTCCACGCCCTCCTAAAACGCCTCGTTTAAACACGCCCCCACATGTCTGCGTCACTGTGTGGGGAGATTTGCATAACATTGCCCAAATGTTCACGCAAAGAAAGGCGGCGTAACTTTTATTCTCGCTGTAGTATTGTTGTTGCCTCCATGTCGTGAAGGCACTGTGTGTTTCGTTGTGAAAGCGAAGCTACTTTGTTTGGCCTTCCAAAAGAGGACGATATCCGCTTCGTCATGCCTAGAGCTGATCCGTGCTGGTCGCTGAGGAAATACATCAACTTCGCGCTGTGGACAACTTTTTAGTGAATTGTTGGCCTTCTGGAAAGTATGTTCATTTACTGTACATGTACTCAATACTTGGTAGGGGCTCCTTTTGCTTTAATTACTGCCTCAATTCGGCATGGCATGGAG